CGGTTGTTAAGGGAGTGTTAAAAATAATTGCAACTAACGGAAAAATGAATTACGCGATAAAAGAAAACGTAATTAAAATCCGCTACGTTCAAACACGATAGACAATTACAAACAATTATCAATGTGAAGTATGAAACATGCCTGAAGAACAATACATGTAAAAATCGATAAATGTGTGTAACCCTACAATAGGACTAAACTTCTCGCAATCTAGCGTGTATAATAGAAACTATTTTCATAACAAACTTGGGCGTTGACCCATCGATGGCGCCACTAGTATAAAACCCGCTCAAATAGCGCCTGTGAGCGATGATCTTTCTGGATGCATTAGCATTCATATACGTAGATAATAACTTAACTTGCATAAATGAATAAATAAATACATAAATAAACATAAATATATACATAAATTATATTACAGATGAAACTTCAGTTTGTTATACCATATCGATAGTCCGAAGGTGTTTCACAGTGTGAAATTCACACATGTCTCGATACATCGAAATCAAGTCGATATTAGGAAAGTTATGAGAGCAAGAATTAATATAAAGTATCCGAAGATCGGGAATGATAATCATCTGAATAGTTGTTCGTGAACAGTAACCCGCCTAAAGTGTAATGTACGGGCTACTAATGAATGACGTTACATAAAACAACGTGGAACAACACGTGTGATGGTGAAATTTTCAATTTATTTAGGTGTTTGGATTCTTACGATCCTGTTGTTACTTGCCTCTGTCACCAGAACCGAAAAATACAACATAACAAGTACCCTTGACAATCCCTCCAATCATTACCATTATAATCTTTGTTGCCATCAATATCGTGGACGATCAAAAAATTACAACTATTTCTTTATAAGTTTTACACACGTTTCGCATGATACTATAATTTTCCCAAACGAAAGATGTCATGGAAATAATTTACAAAATAGATCGCTTTATTCGAAGAATGCATTAGTCTCGAATTCTTCTGCGAATGTGTCGGACTATTACGCCAATGATATCCACCATGTCGAAACAAAACCAATTTTTGCGTTTAACGAGTCGCCTGAATTTATAAAGAAGAAGGAAGCATCTGGACGTGATCACGAGAACTATCTAAATTGGAAAAATATAATCTGGAGACGAAGAACTTTGTGTTCTATTTCCGACGATGAACAGTACGTCGGGGAAACGCCGGTTGAGAATGTTCTTGGCGATGTTAATGAAAAAGAAAAAACGAAAACGTTATTAGATTACGACGATTCGGTTTTCATGAACGATCTCGTGGATCCAGATTCTTTAAAGCCTCATATACGAGTAAAGAGAAGCAAATCGGAATCAAACTCCGATTCATCATTCGTGAATCGACAGGATTACTTGAAAGATTTGGCCAGTTCTTTTCCTCGGAATTACTATGAATCGATGGACGAAAATTCTTATGACGATGACGTCTCGCTCGATGCGAAACGAGAAATCAAGTCGCAGGCATTTTTTGCAAACGATGAACAGCCTATTGAACTACATAATCAGGAATCAGAAAAAGATCAATCAAAAATGTTTGACAGTAATCTACTCAGGATCCTTTCGTCTCCTAATATTGGCAGATTACCTGGAAACACCGTTAACGAGAGATCAGTTGCTTCCGAAAAAGTTGCCAATGTGCCATCCGATGTCAAAGCGAACTCGTGTACAGACGAAACATCTCTGAATCAGGACATCGTGTCCCTGGAACGACCATCCGACGAATATGCTTCAGTCGTGAATCAACGATCGCCAGACTTAAATTCGGAAATCCTAGGTCTTCCGGAAGATCCTATGGTAGCAGTAGAATTAGTTAGAAAGAAACGAAACAATCGCGCGAAGGCTGAAAAGAAAAGAAACTTTCAAGAGCCGGATCAGAAAACGAAGAAATCGTTCAGCGAAGAAAAACGATCGGTTCTGGATCCAGAGAAATCCTCGAGGGACTCGAGTCCTGAAAGTTCGAGCAGAAAATTATCGAAGTTGGCTGTTGCTGATTTAAAGGCGGATTTGTTGCGACTGAAGAGAACTGCGAGGAACGATCAACGCGAGAAACGTTTAAAGGCGAAGAAGAAAAAGAAACACGCGGAAAAGAAGAAGAATATTTCTTCGAGATCGGCAAAAAGTCTGCGCTCGAAGAATCGCTCGAGATTGCCACGCGAAAAGAACAACGGTGAAACGAGAAGTGGGGGTAAATCAAACGTAGGGTTTGCTAGTGTAGCGTCTAAACAAAATAATGACAACAATTTTCGCCGTAGATCCGTAAAATCGAAAGACACGATCGAGAGAATAGATCCCAGCGACGATCGTTCTTCGATACGTGACGCGTTGTTGTCGATACAGACTGGGTCGAAACAAATCGAGGGGAATGAAATCAATGCTGATCGCTCTGAAATTTTATTGGCTGCGCAGAGAGGAAACGACCCCGGTGACGTTGTGGCGGAAACGGATGAGAGCTCGGACGATCAAAGGGTTGAGGAGGAAGGACCTCTCACGAATTACGAAAAGTCGATAATACCGACGATAGATGGGTCAAAATTACGCAAGAAACGAGACAGAAATCCTGAAGGAAACCACGGATTTCTAAACGAGGAAGACGAATTAAGATACTACGAGGAAATTCGAGAGCCTGAGGAAGGCATGGTTCCATGTGCTAATCTAGATGACGGTCCACCTTTAGAGGTCAACGATGCTGATGGCAAACGAGCGGTGCGATCGATCGACGAAGTCAAAGAACTCGTCAAGAAATTGGTGACAAAAGTAGGTACAATATGGACACATACAGTGGGTGTAGAATGTATTCGTACACCGGTCAATTTTCCAAAAAACTTTTCTGTGAAATTGTAGTTTCTTAACTTCTTTTTTTGTAATCCATGATATTTTACATATTCTCGGAAGTCTCTAAGGTAGATATAGTCCAAACAACATTTACTAGTTAATATATTGGGTTGTCTGGAAAGTCCACGCCGATTTTTAGTAGACCAGGTCTGAATATATCGAAATGGTTGAAAACAATTAACACGTGGACATCCCTTAAAAGGTGGAAAAATTGTGGAACAAAATGGTACTTACATAATTCAATAAATGTATATATATATAAATTCAAATATATGAATTTTTTATGAACTTTGAATTTTTCTTAAAAATTGCCACGAACTTTCTGGACAATCCAATAATTTGTGAAATTAACAAAAATAGTGCGAAAAGTGGGTAAAAGTATAGAAGCAATAAGTATTTGTACGATTCTTATGACGAACCATTTACAGTAGAGTTTCTAACGTAAACATATTAGTTTATTGTTCCGTACGAATTAGAAATCATCAAATTTCCAGTAAAGTACTTTTAAACAATTGTGCAAATACTTATTGCTTCAACATTTCTATCGATTAATTGTTTTTTTTTTTTTTTTTTGTCAATTTCGCAACTTACATAAATATATTTATGTATAAATATATTTGTAATATATATAAATTATAAAAAGTAAGTTAATAAATTACAATTTTACACAGTCTTTTTGGAAATTGATCGGTGTACGAATACTATCTACACCCACTGTACTTCTAACAATTAGGGATGTTCGATTCTTGCAAAGAAATCGATTCTGGAATCAATCCTGAATCTCCCTTAAATCGATCCCAAATCGAACATTCCTATTCCTAAGTCAAGCATTCGCATACGTTCCATTAGCAACAAAATTTCGTTCAAGGTGAATGAACTTGACAATTATCTAAACGTCGACGAGGTTAACAAGAACGAGAAGGGAGTGAAGAAGATTCGAACTCGCGCGATCGATGATTTATGTTCAAACGTCAGCACCGGTTGCGCCGCTTTCAAGGAGATGCCCAAGATCGTTCAGAGATGCGTCCCGTCGACTGACCACCGATTTACGTCTACAACGAAGACTATAGTCGCGAGGAAAGCAGAAGAAAGTGGAAACACCGACGAACATAAACGTTTGATCGTGAAAAGCGACGATTCGGAAAAGGGACGATCGACGCGCCAACGTGCGACCAGGACGCTATCGAAAGCGTCCAAAGCAGCTCGTAGAGAAAGTTCAGAAAATCAGAAAAGACAGAACAGTAAATGGGGCAGGTGGACAGACTGGAGCAGCTGTAGTGTCACCTGCGGCAAGGGTCGACAGATCAGATGGCGGTATTGCTTGCACGATTGCAGCACTGCGGAGACCGAGATGGAGGAGAAGGCATGTCAACTGCCAGCTTGTCCGCCTGGAAAATTCCTCGGGATATTTTAAGATTCTCGTGTCTACCTCTATTTTAACGTACATTCTAATTTTGTATGTCGATATATAAAATATTTATATTGTATGTTTTGTATAAGGCAATAAGGGAAAATGTATTATTAAATAAACAATTAGAAATGTGGTTCTACATACCTGTGTGGAGTGTGCTGTAGTTGCGCCGAGGAGGGATGTTTCGTTTGATGGAGGAAGAATTCACTACTACAAATGAACGATTAAACATCGATTATTAACGCAGTTGTGTAACAAATCGCATGATTATTTTTTTTTCGTCTCATTACCAAATACACAATATATTTTAAAGGATATTTTAAACAAAACGTCTTTTCCTTTCGAACGTATTCACAAGTAACGAGTTTTCGTTGCTTACAGGAAGTTTACTGTAACCCAATAATCGCGTTTTCACTAACTAGACACGGCAAACCGCCGTTCTCTTAATAATTGTTACAAAATATGAGCGATCAAGGACTGGCTTTTTTTGTTACTCGCGAATATTTTGCGGTATCAACGTACAACGTTGGCGGGTAAACGGTCATTTCGTAAATGTACAATTTTGTGTGTTCACTTAATCGGAATCACTCTGTTTCCTTCTGTCTACGGTCCGCACGTTTTCTACACTCGTAAAATCTCATATCACACATATCGTTTACTCAACAGCATTCAGTTTCTCTCGTTTCGTTGTCTTACAAGCTAGCTTTTTTTATTGTGAAAACCGTACAAACGTGTTCTTCTCGTGAGGTTCGACGATTCGCTGTAAAATTTTCCAAACTCAAGATCCTCGGAAACCGTTCGCTTAGATTCAGATTACGTGTAATTCCACGCTCATGCGGAGGGGCAGTTTCAGCGAAAATTCATGCTTACATTATAAAACGTTTACATATCTACATGAAACGGTGCACATTCGTTCCGTGTGTTCGCGCGTAGACAAAAATCACAGTGATATCGCACGATTACGATTGATCTCAATATCGTGCGGCGTAAGTATTTACTTATTATTTCCTTTTTTTCTCGTTTTATTATTTTCATCGACCGTGAGTTCCACACGGTGGTGAGGTTTCTCGACGTAAGGGAGCTTTCGTTTATCGATGATGCGCACAAGTTCTCACACGTCATAGCACGAGAACTTGAGCCAAACCGCACGCTTACAAAGTTACAAAAGTAAAACACCCTTCCCCGAAGGGGCGATTTCAATATTTTTCAATTCCTTAAAAAAGTTCGGGTAACGCTTAAGAGAAACGACAAAACGCCCAAGAGATCGTGCTATGACAGTTCACCCAAAAAGAACAAGAGATCCCGTCGATGCGGCGTCTCCAATTAGTAATATCCGGCTTGTCCAAGGGACCACTTACATATACAAATTGATCACAATGGTAAACGCATACATACTCGCGAATACTTAAACACCCATACGTTAACTCCTTTTAGACACGCATACACACTCTTATATAATTGCGTAATGTCTTTTGACCATTGATACTTGCAATCTGTTCTTAGTCTAAAGGGCGCGGAAAACGTCGGTCCCTTGGTCGTGGACAACGTTGCGTTGCATTTACATTTTCGTTCTGTCTCGACTGCACTTAAACGGCGCACTCTCTTTCCGTTTCTTTCGTCTATTCGTGACTGAGCTTATTTTTACATCATAGATATATCGCTTGAAAAAACTGTGTAGCAAATCCGGTTCGTTTGCTACTTGACGGCAAATTGGCTGCGTTTCTTCTTTCGATTAATTTTCTTCTACGTTTATGGAAAATTAGCGCGCGGAAGAACACTCGTACGGCATCCGCCTCCTCCTCCTCCTCCTCCTCCTCTACCTACTATTCCTTCTCTTATTACTACTCCTTTTCCTCTTTATCCTGCTCTTCTTCTTCGTATTTCTACTACTCTCCCGGTCTCCTCCTCCTCCTCCTCCTCCTCTTGATAGTAGTACAGTATAAAATTATTTCGTATGGCAGGAGAAATTTGAACTCGATTCTCTTGGATATCGTATTCGTTAACTCGAGTTCCTGCACTGTTCCTCTTCGGTTTGCGACGTTACTTCTAGTACAGGGATCTCGTCGCTGCCGGCGAATATTCGGACGTCTCGATCTGGATCTGAGCGCATCTCTCTGAGCCTTATCGCCACTTCCTCCGCCTGCTCGATCCCCAACCAATCGGCTAGAAATTCATAAACATACCGAATATTAAGTTTACTTATTTATTATTCGCCTTTTATAGGAATTATAGGGTTTTTCCTTTTTCTTTTTTTAATTTATAATTGACAGTAGAAGAAACGATTAACGGATACTCACGTCCCATGGGTGCGACGTATTTCGAGAGAGTTCTCGCCACAGCCAGTCTCACGTTGGGTACCTTGTCCGTCGACAATTTCAACAAATTAGGTAACATCTCCTGCGAGAATCTGTCCCCGCTGATGGCGTTGCTGGCTATCAAGTAGGCGCAGACGAATGCAAACGTCTGTCGTCGGATCCACTTGTAAGCATAGACCCCTAGGTTGTATCTGAGATCTTGAAACAGAGCCGAGACGAGACGCTCGTTGTCGGACAGGTGGGCCACGATTTGCGTCACCTGTTTATCGATCGCTACGTTAGCTTATGGAACAAAGGATGACAATATACGGATTGGTTCACTTAACGTTACCATTCGGAATACCTTCTTCATGCTTTGTTTTAAAGGAAGATTTTTGTTTAGACGATACCTTAGATTTGGTTTGTCGCAGATATTCAAAGCATGAAAACGGTATACAGAGGATGGTTACGTCGACGGGAAACACCCCAGTACATTAACAAAGAACACGTTGTGCAGGGCAATCGTGCAAAGTCGTACCAAAGAAAGCGCAACGTGCCTCACAGCGGCAACTTTGTCGATCAGAAGCTCGAAAGAAAGAGGCACCATGTAGCGTTCCACGTCGGCCGGTCCAAACAGATTCACGATCTCCAGCAGCTGGGTGCCCAACTCCTCCCTGAACCTCCAGTTCCAGACATTGTCGGTTTTGAGGAACTCCTTCAGCCTCGGCAGATAGTGACACGCGTCGTCGGGTTTGAGTATTTTCAAAAATGTTGCGAGATGCTTGAGCACGCCTATTCTGACCTCGTCTAGGTCTCTGATGAAGGCGTTGTAGATAGGCATGAGATCGGTAGCGGTGAGCTCCTGGCCCAGTATCGCCGCAATCTCGTGTATGCTCGAGGCTAACGTGCTCCTAACTTTATACTGATTCGCGCTGACTAACGACTTGTACGCGTGCCTAAGATAAGGCCAGTTCTCTTTGCCCAACGTGAGTACCACCGCGGGGAAGCTGAACGCGCAATAATGAAGAAGATCGGCGCTCATGTCCCTGCCTTTTTCAGGTTCCGCCATCGAAAGGAACGAATCGATCAGATGCTGTGGCACGATGTCCTCCACGTTCCAGTTGACGGCTGCTTGGAAATTGTTCGCGCAAGGTTCGCTCGTCGGCAACTCGTCCTTGGATGGCTCATTCGCTGGCTGCTCCTCCTCGGAGCACTCGTCCGCCGAGTACTCGTCGGATGGGAACCCGTCTGCTGGGTATTTCACTGCTGGGAACTCGACCACGGGGAACTCAATGGTTAAACAAATGTCGTCGTTCGACGCATTGTCCGACTGCGCTGCGTTGTGTTGCGTCTTCCTGTTCATGTTCTTCTGTGCGTCGGCCTTCTTCGCGGCCTCCACGAGCTCGTCGTCTGGTGGCAGGTCGGGAGCTATATAGTAGTATAAAAATGGACTGAACTTCTCCGTGTCATCTGTAGTTTCCTTGAGCTCCGCATTCTTTGAACGTTCCTTCTGTATCTATTGGAGTAATCAATAAAGATTAAATTATTAAAAATCCTAATATGTTTCAAAATATTGTTTGCTTGGGAGTCGTGCGCACCTTCAATCTTAAAGCTTTCATGTATGAAATGTAATCTTCCTCTGACTCGTCGTCGTTCTGCTCGTAAGCTTGTTGCTGGAGTATCACAGACGTGTTGTTGTTCTCCTTAGAGTTGAGGTCCTCGGAATCGAGCGTGAGGCTCCGTATCGCGCACTTCATGGGGAAGATACCCTCGTACGAGTACCTTATACTGTAACACGAACAGGCTAATAGGATCTCCGGCTCTAACATGCGGCTATCTCGAAGAGAAAGAAAACTCTTTGTACCTGAAACGAGAATCTTGCTGGCTGGTGAACACCAGCTCGCCGTGTTCGTTATAAGTTACTTCGGTGAACTGTTTCGCGAATGTAGATATAAATGGTCCTAAGATTTGGAAGGCAGACATTCGCACCCATCTCGACTCGTCTATAAGATGCGTGGCTAGTAGCTCCGCGCATACTAATCGACAATGCACGAGGGACGTGCAACACACGACCGGCATCATAACGTCCACGCATGCTTTCCTGATGCCCCACACTGTGTCCTGGCACATGTCGGCGAATATGGGGAACTGTAACAACGAACCGAAGGTATTTAGATGTCGATATTCGTTCTGTCACGACTGTTTTCGAGAAATTGTTATTGTTAAGAACGAGCATTGGTAATCGATTTGACGCTGCGAGAACTCACCAGTTTCCGATTAATCGCTTTCTTCCCGACAGCTGCGCAAAGCTCCCCGAAGTGCGTGACGCAGATCCTCCTTACGTAAAACTCCTTGTCTCTGCAGAGAGTAATGTACGTGTCCAGAAAAATCTTTTCTGTCAGCTCTTTGCCGATGAGCGGTGCCATCTTGCTCATGAGCTGCGGATCGACATAATTACACGATATACCTCGTACGAATATGGAAAACGAATCAGCGATAGCAAAGCAAACAGAAGGGCAAACGGATATAACGGAGGACCGAGAAATGGACACGAGACAGTTATGGTTAGCCTAATCTATTCGAGATCCACGACTCTTACTGTACGAGTCACGCGACGAGCAAAATTTTATCGAAACAATAAGAGATATATATATATTGAACGAAGTTTAACCCCTTCAGCTCTCTCCTTGTTCGTTACAAAACTGTTTCTCGATTAAATAGAATCGAGCTACATCGATTTCGATCATTTTCTTAAAGAAATAATTTCGTCGCTCCTAATCTAGGTGGCAATGATGGTAAATGGAGTTATAAATCGCGCCGTTCCGCTCATCAAAGCTGGCTGTGATACGAGTCCAAGCCACCACATCACAACCACTCTGATGGGAGGAACAGTCGAATACGCGCCACTAAACACCTGGAAAAGAATACACGTGCACAATCGAATAAAGGGGGATGGTCTCGCGGTTGATCGATCGGATCTAGCCACGCAAACGGCCGGCGTGAGATCGATCGGTTCCACGACCGTTCGAAATATTATACTTTCGTGACGCCCGCATGTGCGCGCTCGTCGAAATCAGTAGGTCATTGTTCAACGATAAAATTAATTGTTCACGAGGAGAAGGGCAGACGTGAATCATCCCACGGATTGGATTCTACGCGTCGTTTCGTGGCTGCGTTCATGAGTCGATGGTTAAATATTTTAGGGATTTCGATACAGTTTCAGGACTAACCCAGAGGTAAAACTATAGTTTCTTTTTTTAAATAGGAAGGAGGATAATTGTAATGGCTGAGCAAAGCTAAAAGTGAATGGTAAAATTAAGTAATTCCTTAAAGATGAAGACTTTCTGTAAGGGTTGGATCCTTGATATTTAGCCAGCAAGTTTAGTAGTAGTTTTTAAATAGGAAGGAGGATAATTGTGCTTTAATGGCCGAGTAAAGCTAAATGCAAAGTGGGTGCCAAAATAATGTAATTCCTTAAAGATGAAGACTTTCTGTAAGGGTTGGATCCTTGATATTTAGCCAGCAAGTTTAGTAGTAGTTTTTAAATAGGAAGGAGGATAATTGTGCTTTAATGGCTGAGCAAAGCTAAAAGTGAATGGTAAAATTAAGTAATTCCTTAAAGACAAAGACTTTCTGTAAGGCTTGGAAAATTGATATTTAGCCAGCAAGTGAAATTTGCCGTACATTATCGCCTTATTTACTCGTCTACAATTAACCTATAGTTTCCTAATAATAGAAAGAAAATAGGTATGCGATTCTGACACTGAAAAATTGCGATTACACGTTAACTCTCCAGGTCGAAATCACAAAACGGTAGTCTAAATATTCCACCCTTCTCCCTTGAAGCGAGCTAACGGGCACGAAAAGCGAAATCGTGTCTAGATCGTTAACGATGTCCACGGACCCGACATTCCTTCCTCCGCTTCTTCTAAGATCGTCGAACGCAGCGCGGCGCAGCGCTCATCAAAGCTGGCTGTGATGTGAACGCTCGCATCAGCATATCACAACCACTTTGCGAGCGATGCACGCGCCATTCTTCCTTCTCCCGATTGCCAGTCGCGCAAGGAGACGACCATCATCCCCCGTGACGTCTCCGTTTTCCGTCCAAGCTCTCTTACCACGCAGCAGAATGTCGTCGCGACGTCGCAAACGAACGGCGATCCAAATCGTCAAATATGGCTGTGATATGAAATCTAGAAAAGCAACACGCCACAACCAATTTGACGATTGGATCGCGTTCCTCTCTCCCTTCGCTAATATTTCCTCCTAGCTTTCCGCTCCACGGGTCGGGAGACGGAAATACATATGTTGGGGGTTGATGGTGGACAAGTGAGAGAAAAGAAATATACAACCCTTCGATAGGGCAACAATGGAAGGGAACAAACTACGACGTCGTGAAGATAAATCCTGCTCGTTCCTCCGTTGGACGGGGATCTTCCCATTCGTGGGCGATTATCAATTAAGCGGGCACTAAGCGTCGACGATGGCCACGCTAACGTGGAAGCTTCCCCGACGATCGATTCTGCGGGCCAAGCTCATCAAAATGGCTGTGATATGACTCGAAACATTCCACAACCAATTTGATGTATCGGACCGCAAAAGGTATTTTCGTTTCGGCTGCCGTGTGTTTGCGCTCTCTCAACGACGCGTTTCGTCCTTCTCCTCTTCGTGCCGCGGCTCGTTTCCCCGTTTCAGAGGACACGTTTGGCTTCCCGGTCTCCGTGGTAATTATTTCCGTGTCCTTCCTTTTTCCGCGTTCGAGCTTCTCCGTCGAGGACGGACACAATTTTGCTCATCAAAGCTGGCTGTGATAGTCGATCTCTATGACAAACCAACTTTGATGGTAAAAGCATGTCCCGTGTCGAGGATCCCTCTCCGCTCTCCTTGTTCTTCGTAGAGTCCTGCGGTATCCTTGGAAGTTTTCGTTTCGTCGAATCGGTTTCCATACAATTCCGTACACCGATTGCGAGGGAGCGTTTTCCGTTGCACGCGACTTCCCTCTTAGCTCGCTAGCGAACGATGGAGCCGAACGAACGCCGGATGAAAGACAAGATAGTGAGACGCGATAGCGTGAGAACATCTCACTACCCATGTCTTTCAGACGGAATCCGTCGTAGCGAAACCCCGAGGTACGAGAATTCCCCTCGATACGCGAAGGAAGTATATCTTGGACGCGTTTTCGGCGGATACAGAGATGGGGGAAAATTTTAATCTAGGCACCAGCTTCGAGCAGCGAATGGAAGCCGTGAATTGTTTGTAGGTTGCTTTGTTGAATTAATATTAGAATTTTAATTGTAGAATTAAGCTTCCTTATAGCTTTCTATGGTGTAATACGTGAACATTAGTTTAAAATACTACAAGTTAAAAGGGTAATCGCAAACACGTCGAGCGTGTATAGGTGTCGACCCTTTGAATTCGGAAATTTGGCCTGTTAACGCTAGCTTCACAGAGCAACTGTCATTTTCGCCTATTCCTATTATCTCAAAGTATCATAGAAACCGTTTATGCTTGTCTCCAACCATTCATGCTGATTCTTATCCACATTAAAGAACAAGCATATATCCGAATGCTAATTTTTCCCAGAGCCTCCTAATTAACTTTTCTTCAATTCTTAACTCGACCTCATTTATTAAGACATTACTTTGGTAATAGAAATCTTATAAGAAATCTCTGCGAACCTAGCGCTAAAATTGAATCCATCCAATTGTTTATATGTCTACGATACATCCCTTTGCTTGTCTTTGCTCCTTATCTGTTACTCGAGTAAAATTTCGCTCATCTCTGACCGTAGAGAGCCTGGTCGAATGGGATCAGGAATGCAACGCGCGAAAACGTACTTTTCTCCTGCGTCGTGGTTCGCAGTGTTCGCGAGCACTTCCTACATACGTATTCGTTAATTAACAACCGACCTGAGGCTCGCGGGGGCATTAAAATCCCATTTGACCGCGTCGGTGGATCGCTCGATAGAATGTTAAATCGTGGCACGAGAAAGAAAAAAAAAAAGGAAAAAAAAAAGAAAAGAAGGGAAAACAAGGAAAGAGAGGAGGTGTCGAGCACGAACGGAGTCACTTCGATTCCGTTCCGTGGCGTTCCTCGAAAAAACGGTTGCAACGCGATAAACGTCGCGAGGGAACAGGGGAGAAGAGATTACGATATCTCGCTGGGGGGTCGCAGCTATTCTACGGTTTCCGTGCGAAGGGGGCAGGTGCGTACGCGGTTACAAAATAAAAAAGAAACGAAAAGGAAGAGCGAGAAAAGTGACGAAACTTACGGATACGCCCGTGTTGAGGGAGTCGACGTTCTTGCAGAGGGTTTCTAATACAGGACAAACTTTGGTCTCGATCGTTTCGTTGTCGAGGAGTCCCCTCTTCATTAGCGCCAGCACCGCCGTTTGGGCCGTCAGTCGTACCTGGAGAGAGGGAAAAGAGGATTCGTCAATTGGGACTTGTAATTGATGGGGTTGTGCTGCTTTCTCGTTGTGCACACGATTTACTTTGTAGAAAGGAGGGCTTACAGAAAATTGTGAGAAGATTCAAAGATTTCCAAAGATTCGAGAATCCTACCCACTAGCAGAGATGGACAAAACCCTACTTATCATCCAAACTCTTCCATATTTTTGCGCAATCTCCTAAACCAGGGAACTGCTTCAAGACGAAGCTTTACTTCCTAGAAAGAGATGGACAGAACCCTAGGCTTCAAATAAATCTCAAGTTTGCCGATATGTTTGACTCGTTTCTTCTTTTGAACATTTTCCAAAGTAGGAAACGAGCCAAACACATCGGCAAACTTCAAATTTATTCGAAGCCTAGGGTTTTACCTATCTCTCCCCGCTAGCAATCAAGGATTTAAAAAAGAATTTAAAGAATAAAGTTGGTCGATGCAACTGAAATTCAATTAAAATTTTTGTTTGGTACGAATGGGAGGAGGACCCTTCAAAAGATTTTCTAGTTATTAATGAGTTAGTAATAGCTAGACTGCGGATCATTATGCAAAATAAAATCTTCGCGAACGTGCCTAGAAAAGTTGAACCTATATAGGAATTTATTTTATTCTGCAAATATTATAACATGAAGTTTACTTTCAATATTTTTTATATTCTTGCATAATGTTTGCATTTTGTAGGTTCTTGCACATACAAATTTTCTATAAATGCATAAAGATTCGCAGTCTAGTAATAACCAAGGATCGTAATAGCCAATCTATCGTGAAACTAACGAAGCTAATTTGTATCATCAGTAGACTGCGGATCTTTATGCATTTATAGGAAATTTGAATGTGCAAGAAACTACAAAATGCAAACAATATACAAGAATATAAAAAAGATTAAAAGTAAAGTTCATGTTATAATATTTGCAGAGTAAAATAAATTCCGATTTAGGTTCAATTTTTGTAGGAACTTTCGCCAAGATTTTATTTTCCATGAAGATCCGCAGCTTAATAATGAGTTATTATTATTATTATTGCGATTACCATTATTCTTACATGTAAACATAGATAATATAATAATAATAATGATAGTAAACGCACATTGTTAAGAAATATATAACACTAAATATGAAATATAATAATTAGATGTTCCAAAATGCGCGAGCATCGTGAGTTCGCATAATATAATTTAATTATTCTGCGAACTCATAACTGGAAACTCATACAAATAATATGCAAGAATATAAAAAAAGATTAAAAGTAAAGTTCATGTTATAATATTTGCAGAGTGAAATAAATTCCGATTTAGATTCAATTTTTGTAGGAACTTTCGCCAAGATTTTATTTTGCATAAAGATCCGCAGTCTAATCATCAGCAACTTTGCTGTTATTGGAAAGGGTGCGTTTGCAGGATGAAACGAGAAAGCAAGAAACTAGAGCTTTTCTGCGATCTCTGGCTGGGGTTCTTATAGGTCTAAAGTATTGAAAATTCACCTGATTATCCACGTCCTGCAAGTATTTTATTATCATGTCCAGGAGATGTTCGTGAAGAATGTCCCCGAAGAGGTGTGGAGCTTCTTGGCAGATGATCGCCACTTGTGAAAGTTGCTCCACCAGGTCCGACCGAACTTGGATGTCTGCAATCAAAAGGACATCGTTCGTCAGACAAAATTAAGATCGAAGCATAAATTAGATTTAACCATACAGGTGAAATGATCGTTGGAAATTTGCATCGGTTGGTTTACGGTTTCAACGTTATTTCGCGTAACGAGGATTCCTGCCATCGGGAATCGGTTAAGTCTACCCACGAGGTGAAAACGGTCCCTTCTAGGAGGAATCCGATCATTCCTTTGCAACTCACGATCGACGCTTGTCGGTCAGCCTAATCGTGCGACGAAAGCAGCGATTCTTAACCGTGCTAAATTCTTATGTAGAAGATTCTAGAATAGCCACGTGACAAATAAAAAATGAACACCGGTCTATCAGTTATTTCTCGCATAGAAAATCAAAATTAGGATTGTAGATTGATTAGACGGAAGAGTAAAGATTTTACGCGATAAATAGATATACAAAGATTGAACTGTTTAGTCGAATATGTCTGTATACATCCTTACATCCTCAGCTTCCTAATTTTTCGATTTTAATTACGTATTATAAATCCAAATCAAAGCGTTGAAATATCGAATAAAGTCGTCGAGGACTACTAAAATACACGATTAGATTATTCACGAATAGGATATCGGAGATTCTTCTCTAAATTTTGTTGTGAGCTTAGGTGAGCTTAAGCACCACTGGTCGAAAGCGAGGAAAACAGGGACGAGGTGGAGGGGGAGGGAGAGGTTTCTGCCGAGGTTTTCTCGACCTTGGCCGTTTTATTCTTGACCGCCGGTTCCCGTGGAAATACCTGAATGAAAAAGGGCGTCGCAAGCTGACGCCCCTGCTGATTAGGAAAACTCGCACCTTTCAACCACGGTCGGGCCTCGACGTCCATAAAGAACGAGAATTTCCCGTTGATCATTAGCGAAACAACCCATCGGCCTGCTTAACCGAACAGGTGCAACGCGATCCTCGCCAAACGGTTCGAAACATAACCATTTCTTCCACGGCTCTTATAAATATGAATACGAAAATAAAAGGAACACTTGTAAATTGTTTCATAAGCGCAGCTAACTTAGACTTGAACACTTTCAATTTGTCGATATCAAATTAATACAATCTTAAATGAACTTTTACTAGGCTAACTTTAAATGATCTTTGATATTGTTTAACGCGACAGAAAATTAACGTCGGTGATACAGTATGTATCGCTCGTACTTATTATTACATTCTCCATACCATTAGTGCTGCGATCAACCACCATCGTCGGCTACAGCAATGATTCCTTCATCGACAGCATCGGGCGACGACACAGTCATCAACCTGGACCGGATAATTTCTGTCACGAATTCAAATTCCAGTTCGATTGTCATCGCGCGAAGAGTATATTCCGCGGATTCGCGTTTCGACGCCGTCTGACTCGCGCGGAGCAATGAAATAGCGCGGGAAACCGTGAGCTGGGGAACACTGATTCCCACAGAGATCAGAGATGGGCAATATCTAGGCGAAAATGTCCTGGAATCACTTTTTACTCGTTGGAGAACAATTTAAAATTAAATTATGGCGTTTTATATATATATGGAGTTGCTTTAGAAATAAAATCTCATCATTTAACTAGACTTATCGCCTGTCTAGATAAAATTTGAATTCTATCTTAGCCCAAACAATTAAAAAAAAAGAAAAAGAAATTACTAAAAATTCAGCCCATCTCTGAAGACGATTAGGTCCAGATGGATTCCAGCACTTAAATTCGCGTTCAAACTTCAACAAGACACCCGCGGGAGCCAATCGTGTCGAGGATACACTGTACACACAATTTAGAAGCGCGGGAAAGATATTTTCCCGGCAGAGTCCTCAAGGATACCGAGCGAAAGGAGCACGTTACCAGCGGAGAGCGTGGGTGCGACTGAGCGCCGTCGATTTGTCGCGGGAAACGCATTTTCCTAGCAACTGGGAGTGGGGGCAGGGTAATACTCCACTCCTGCTGGGCCCAAACGTCGGAGAGAGAGAGAGAGAGAGAGGTTCGTCCCTTTTCGGGTGTTTTCGCGCGCTACAGGCCCACGATCCGAGCACGTGCCTGCTTTTCCCTCCAAACCACCCGTTTCGCCAGGAACTTCCACAACCTCCCTCCGTAATCACTCCCGTGGCCCTTCTTCCCCCTACCACCGCCACCCTAACCGCGCACATGCCCTAAGCGGACATTCCGAGTTAGGAGATTCCTTGCTATTTTTATTTTCGTTGGAAAAACGAGGATTTTACAGGATATTTCATCATTCTCGTCTTGGTCGTTGCTTACAGTTTCCAAAAAATAGAGAGAAGAGGGAGTTTCGGATTTTGTTTTCTTAATAATGTTGTCAGTATGGACATTATGGACTTTCAAAGATGGAAACATCCGCACGACTTCATCAGAGTGGTCCCCTTTTCGAATTCGAACGTGTATGCATAGAGCTGAACATATTCCAAGTCTTTGAAATACCTATAAGAATTGTGTATTTCGTTAATGCTTCGTGTTTCAGAGGTTCGATTGGCCAGTCGTCTAAACAACGATATCGTTTAATTGTAATCTTGTGCATCTTCGTTTAAGATTAAAAAAAGAAAGAAATTTATTTAATTTCTGTTTGACTAGAACACAAAATCCTGAGCCACCTTTCGGAGCCACCTAAGTCACCTCCCCTCCTTTATATGCAAGATTCAAAAACTTAACGACGAGTTCAAAGTTTATTTCACACGTTAATCGTATACTTTTTGAGCCAACAATGCGGCATGGCGCAAAGAAATCGAGCCCAACGAGCGGTTCGTTTTCTCTGTCGCTCCCCCCCCCCTTTCCCATGCCGCAGCCCCCGTCCATTAATCACGCACGGGGTCTTATCTTCTTCTCCGCCTACTACATCCTTGCGCGCCTTCTGTCCCAGCCAACATCCCGCCAAAAATATCCCGCTGCGCTCCTTCAGGATTAAGCGTCGCCGATTATTTTCTCTGGGATTCTCTCGCTCTTCCTCCGTGTCTCCGGCAAAATTCCACCGAATACGATTCAACGAAACCTCGTTCTGAAACTGGGTGAGGAGGAGGGGGGAAGAGTCATTGGCGTGCACCATTTTGTACAGAACTCGGAGCATACCTTGAGATTAAATATTAAACCTTGAGTAAACCGTGGTCTTGAGATTACGAACTTGAAATGTAACGAGCAACGCGATGAATTTGTATAGAGACGTACTTTTATCAGCTTCGTGCGCAGAAGACTTATTTTGGATGTTTACGTAATAGAATATGTTCTTGAAAATACGTAGGATGTTTTAACCATTTGCAGGGTCAGTCACCAATAGGTTTCCTTTAGGTTTAGTTTCCTTGGAACTCGAAATGCCAATAAAATAATTGTCGTTGAGGCAAAGGTGACCTGATTTTCAAATCTCAAATTAGAGATCTCATTTTTAAAGTCGATGTAAGCTTAGCATTCGTGACAATAGAATGCTAAGAAAGCATCTCGAGTAGCTGACAGATACCAGAAAAAGAGGCCTCGAGTCCAAAGGGTTAATATATAATCTCGTAATGAATATAGGATCTAGTGATACGTATACAAGGTCAGAGTAGATTTTAGTCAGTCTCCTGCAGATGAGTCAGTCCACTTTCTGACCACCACCATCCATAGGATCACTATCCGCACTTATAAAAAGGATCATCTCCAATAGAATATATAATATAAATTTGTTTTACATGCTCATATCCAGATCCAGTCAAGACTTATTGCTCTACCATGTTTAACCCTTTGCACTCGAGGCCTTTTTTTCTGGTATCTACCAGCAACTCGAGATGTTTCTTAACATTCTATTGCTATGAGTTCTAAGGTATCGAGATTTTAGAATAAGGTCACTTTTACCTCGCGAGCTCCAAAGAAATTGAACCTAAAAACTTTTGAGTATTGTAGATTTGCTCCGTGAAACCTAATGATGACTGAGAGTCGCTTCTCGAGTGAAAAGGATTAATACTCTTACAAATGAATCTAAAAAGATTACTTCTCCTTTTCACGAGATAGGTACCCTTGAAAGAGCTCCCAAAGACGGAGACGAAGAATAAAAGAGTCCTAGAAGGCGCAATCCTCGACGATCCAAGGAACGTCGCTATTTATAGGGCGGGATCCACGGAAACATCTTGCCCTGTAACACGTGCCGCCATCGGTGTTTTTCCGTAGGGCGATCGAAACCAAAGGGACGACCACGAAGAGGGAGGGGTCGAAGAGATTCGGGACTCGGGGGCACGCGACACACGCGTTCACGTATTTTTGGATGCGTCGCTTTCTCTGATAGTCGAAGGGATCGCTGGAACACGCGCCCTTATCCCCCCCCTTTCAACGGATAGGACGCCAGTTGCGTCGCTTTCCTCTCCCCCTGCTGACTTTTCCACGCCATGTGCAGGAAGAATTTTCAGAGGCTCGGAGAAAGAGGAAGAACGAGAGGAAAATCGCGTAATTGTAATTTGAATTAGTGACTTTCGACGGTGTACTTTCATTGTAAACCGAGAAATTTAAAGAGAAGAAGAGGGGGGGCTAAGATGAATCATGTTTGCAGCAATTTAGTTGCATATATTAGGTTGTCCAGAAAGTTCGTGCCAATTTCTAAGAAACATTCAAAAACACGTTCGAATGTTTCTTAGATATATTTATTGAATTACATATGTGCAATTTTGGTCGACAACCTTTCCACCTTTTGAGGGATGTTATTTGTTTTCAACCACTTCGATATATTCAGACCTGTACCACCTACCAAAAATCGACATGGACTTTCCGGACAACCCAATATTTCTATAATTCTATGATTATTTATGAGCCTGTCTCGCGAATAATTTTATTTTTACATGGACATTAACCCGAGTATCTGAGTCTATTTTAGTACGAGGATATGCACTCATGGGCCGCAAATCTTTTAAAAGGTTCAAGAATTTTTTTCCATTTCAACTATACTTGCGAATCACCCCTGTAGATAGGGAACATTTCTCTAATACCATCTACGAAGGGCACCATTCGCGAAACACGCAATGAAATTTTTTATATTACCTTTAATGACGTCCAAATACTACCCATCGAGCATTTCGGCTTCGATTTCGAACTGTACCCTCCGTAAAAATTCCAAACTTCGATCACCTTGGCCCACCTCCCCCCAAATAATCGCCCGTCTCTTGATCGATGGGCGATTTACAATTCATTTGCAATTTGTACGATTTCCCTCTTGTCGCCGCGCATGGAGACCGTGGAATAAAGGGGCACGACGTCGTTTCACGGGGGGGGCGAGCAGAGTCAAAATTCGCCGAGGTCTCGAAGTATTTCGGAGGCTTCCGAAAAGAAAGGAGCCATTAGTGGGATGAAGACGCAGTGGCGCGTCGTTTTCCAACGTTTCCCCGAAACGGGCCAGGTAAAAGGAAAACGTTTTTCGCGGAAGGGTCGCCTGCCAGGCCTGCAGTCGACGCTTTTTCTAAAGATTCTAACCGATCGCCACAGGTTAAGGCGACGTTTTCACGTAGATACCCATCGACGAAACTTTGCGGACGACCTTTGAGACACCACGGTCCTTCTCTCGATTCCGTGAAACGGCTGGCCGAAAATTTTGCCGCCAACGTCGGTTCTCCTCGACTTCCGCGAAGGGGCCCATCGATTTTTCAAACGAGTCACGCGTTCATCGAGCCCTGGCGTTTTGTTTTTCGGTAGAATACGCGGCGGTTCTTAACGAAGCGTCGACGGATCTGTGCTTTTCCACGAATCGTGGACAATTCAACGACGGAATTTTCCTGACTTGTTCCATGGGTCCTGTGGACCACCTCAGGGTCGAGGAGAGATACTTGAGAGGGATACACCTTGTGGAGGATTAAAGGGAGTTTTTGTCGGAATTTAAAAAAAAATACCGAGTAGCCAATTTTCGCTGCATTAACACGTTGAACGTCACGTCGCCACCATATGGGTGACGGAGATTTTCACTAAAGAACATTTAACAAATAATTTGAAAGACTAAATATCGATGAAAACAAATCTGGATAGAATTCGTAAATTTTGATGAGAATTAAAAAATAAGTAACACGACAAACGTTAGATTCTATAATTTCTAATTGTCTCGGGACGAAATCTTAGTCCCGTAGACATTTCCATGAGATTAAGTGTGACAGACAGTCAACGTGTTAAGGAGAGGATTTCAAAGAAGTTGGGGAATTGATTTTCTTCTTTCCAAGCGTCCTTTTTTTATGCGCAACTAAACGCTGCAATTTAATAAAATGAACGCAACTTTCGCGATGCTTCGAGCCACCAAAGTGAAATAAAGATTTATTATATTTTGATAACTATTCCCCAACTTCCTCCCTGGCGAGGCTTTTATTTTCAATTCCCCCCAAAGTGGAGAGAACGAAAAAGTAAACCGTGTTACGCGTGCTCGTATAAATACTCCAGGGACATACACGGAAACCACGAGTGACTTCCGGTGGGGCACGTGCTGCACCGGAAGCGGCGACAATCTTGTCGTCACCTCGTAGAGCAACAGCCTCCACCGCGACCCCAACTGGCTTCATCATTTAACCCCCCTTCTCCCACACCCCCGTAACACGAGGACGTTCTGTCTTCTCTCAAGTCGACCTATTTTTAAAACGTCTCCCGTCCAACGTTTGTCGTGGGTTGCCTTTTGGTTCGGGGAAACAGGCCCGAACGACCGGAAAAACAAATGGCGAACTGCCTAAAAAGGAATTTTCTGGAGGACGGAACGCTAGCTGCCAGCACATCTATTCGAGGGTGTGTTTGCGTCGAGACGCGTCACGTAGGATAATTTCTTCTCGTCGCAGTTCCGCTGAATTTACAAAGTATATTGCAACACGGAAAACGATGCATCACCCTCTGGATAAGGAGAGTTAATTGTGCAATTTCTCGGGGGGTTGGTTTGAAACGTTTAAGACGTTTCGGACGTTATTCGGGAGATATGCTACAAATTTTGGCTGAGATCAATATTTAATGAAGGGGTAACTTCTGTGGAATTTGATTTTAAATCCAACTCTTCTAGTTGAACTCTGTCGAGTTAAATAAAAAGATAGAGTGAAAAGCATGCAAACTAAATTAACGAAAGCGATTCGTAATCAGGATGAAATTAATTTGGAATTTGTGTTTGCATTTATGTCTTCTCACTTTTAATGTAACATGCTAGGAAAACATTCACGATTAAATCGATAAAAAATGAACAGTGACTGAAAAATACGGTAAGCTATAAAGATTCAAATCTCTCTTACTCGGGGGATAATCATTGTGTAGCGAAAGGTCTCAACCAAAATACCTTCGACGCCAAAACTGAAAGTGCTGAGAGTTTAAATAAGGTGCAAAAAGGTAGTTTTCCAATTCTCCTGGCAACGTGCAAATCTGTTATCTCGTTGCCAAAGAAAGTAGCGAAATTCTCGTATTGTGCAATCAGAAGCTTTATCATTGAATATTAAACGATGGAATAGCCGTCAATTTCCAACGATTAAAATGCTCCTTCGTTCGATACTGGATAGATCGACAGCTGGTGCAACCAGCTGCCAGCGATAACGCGTAGCTTCGTACAATTTTATCTCTCGAAACAATCCCTCGAAAAAGGTTCAGAGAAGCTTGTGCAGCAACGCGAGCGACGTTAAATCGTTGCCGTTTAAAATCGTTTTCAAGGGATGGTTGGCGCACGGGTATGCTTAGCGAATAGCCAAAGTTGAACGAAAGAAGCAAAGCGATGCAAAGCGATGGAGGCATGATTAATACAAAATCACAGCAAACAATCATGCGTGAACGGTGTAAGAAGGATTTGGCTCAGAAGTATTTCCAATCCTTTCAGATCACGCGTAAAAAAAGCAACAAATAAATTAAGCAAGGGACTTGCAATAAGCGAGGACGATACAGTGCGTACGTTACGATGCTCAAAGTTACGTGGTGCATTTTTTCTAGCATAAGTGTAGGTTATTTTCGAATTTAACGATAAGGGGGTTAAAGTTTTAGACTCTTCATCGCACTTGTAAATATTGGATACTTTTCGTGATTCCTTTTTGGAAGGTTAAATATGTTACTTAATAAAACGTACAATGTACGAATGAGTAACTTACCAGGATCCTTGACGATCCGTTCCAGCGACTGCATGATCTCGTTGACGTTGATCTTTGTTCCATTGTTAACGGCAGTGCGAAACATCTCCACCAGAAGAATCCTCCCAATTTTCTGTCTGCAACAAACAATAGAAGGAAACAAGTTAGACGATGCAGTTGGCAATTTGAAAATGTATCTAATTAAAGCAGCTTCTAGGCAAAGTCCACAGTTTACCAGTAAAATAAAGTACAGTAACATGAAGTAAGAAAAATAGTTTCTCCAATTTTTAAGAAGGCATAGTCTTTAAACAATCATGAAAGTGAAAGATCGATGACTTGAACCCTGACTAGTAGCACATGCCCTACAACACGTGTGCTTCAATATCATCGTAATACAAAGTTTTCCTAACACAGAGTCATAAAAGTGATCGATTTGGCGAAGAAACTACCCCTTGCATGATACAACAGCGCCAAAACTATCTTCGACGTAAGTTATTTATTGGTTCGACTCCATAATTCAGCCCTACATAATTCCTCCTATTTTACTAAACGATCGAATGACGAGAGCTTGTTTATATTTCGCCATTCGACATTTTTCACCCACGCGAGAATTTCGCTCATCCCTTGGCGAATTTACGAGCGACCTTCTTTCTCGTGAGTCTCGCGCTGAATAAATCCACGGCTGAGCCCGCGCGATATTACCCCAAAGACGCTTTACCCCCCGAAAAAAAGAATGTAAAACGTGGAACGAAGATGGTGGCTGGGAGGTCGATGGGGAGGTTTACCCAAGGAAAATTACATTTTCTCGACAGAATCACCGCGAATGCAAATACCTCCAACGGGGACGATAATTAACGGCGAGCTGGACGAAGTCGGGCTTGGAAACTTTTTAACAAGCAGCGAACCACTCGGAATTGGTTCGCGCGACCCCTCCGAAATTCCAAAGATTTGCACCCCTCGAGAACTTTTTCGTCCCGCGGACGGTTTCCTCGCCGATTTTCCTCCAACTTCCGCCCCCCAGGGGGCAGGGTTGCGGAGCATGCAATTTTAAGGGCGCCAGGACACTCTTCTTGAGGATACAATGTACAGGTGATACAATGTACCTCTGTTTATTTTCTGTATAAAACATTATTAATTAATTTAGTTTCATATTGGGTAATTTTCTTGAGGTCGTAATACAACGTATCCTTGTTTTTGTTCTATGAAATACCAATAATTAATTTTATATCGGAGGTTGACGCAAAATTAATGTCATCGATTCCTAAACACGATGGGCTACGCTATTAAAAACAACGCAATTTTCTCCCCTTAGGCCAATCGCGCACGGGTGCAATTGATCAGTTTCAAACCACTCTGAAACTACTTCTATGCGACCGTGGATCTAGGTAAAACAAAGAGCGCAAACGGTTTGCAACACTAATTTCAAATCGGTTGCGCCCGCGTGCGTTCGGCCTTAGTAGCAACCACAGGTATCCCAAAGAAGCTTACTTTCCAAAGTTCAAACTATATCTCCCGCAGGGATGAAAAAAAATGTGCGCAATCACTAGCGCACGTGTGCTACCAAAAATTCGTGAAGACTGTTAGCTCGTAGGCGGTCAAGATGGCGCGTAATTCCCGCGAAATGGTGTCTTCTCCTTTTCTTGGGATCTCGGGGATGGCAACCCTAGCGAAGGAGAGGGGGGGGGGGGAAAGAAGAAGATCCCAGCGGCGAACTTTGTCGAATCTTAACGATCGAGACCGCGGGGGCCAATCAGGACACGCCGCGGAAGGCTGAAAGGGAGCGGGCGTCAGTGGTTGTCAGTCGGCCATCGAGGCGGCATATATCGCGGCGTCGAGGGAACCGAGGCATCGTCCTCCTGCCCCCCCCCCCCTCCAGCACGCCGCCCTCCTACGTCTCCGCGGAAAATCGAAAACAGCGAGCGCGAAATGCAACGACGGATAATGCAGTTCGAAACGACCACGCCAGAGCGCGAGCGTAGGGGAGAGGGTGGCGTAGAAAAAACGGCGGGGAGTGAGCGGAAACGAAGAAAACGAAAATCGATGGGTGGGTAAGGAGAAAAGAACAACGCGAAGACGAAGAAGGAAGGAACGCGAGAAGACACCGCGAAAAGTGTTCGATTCCTCCTCGCGAAGACTTCCCCCTACCCGATGCGTTGGGCTGTGGCGGTGGCAAGCTCTCCCTCTCCATCGCTGTGGTGCGTGAGCGGATGGACGAGACGCGGGGAGACGGGTCTGGCACGGGAGCGAGGGAGATGTCGAGCGGCTGGCGGTCAAGAGACGACTGAACAGGGACGCTGGGCGCACGAGTGAGACGCACGAGACGGCCAGGTGGTGGGGGGAGCTGGCAGAGGAGAGGCGGTCGCGTGGTGGGAGGTAGAACCGGCACCAACGGAAGATCGTTTGCGGTGCCCCACCAGAAGTTTACTAGACAACCAGAGGAGGGGGGAGGCCGTTCTCCAAAGTCGTTGGAGAACGGGCAGAGGGATGGTACCGCCCGTGAACGCCTACCGTGTCGGCGCAAACATGGCCGCCGCCGACAACGACGACACCGACCACGAGGACTGCTGCTGCTGCGCTCCCCCGTTGCTATACCTTCTCGCGGGCAACGTCCCAGGGAATTAGGCGATCCCAGGATTGGTCCCGTTGGACCAATCCATACGTCTAACTTCTCGCGATCCTCGCGGCGATCGAGGAAAGGCGAGCGTGACGCGCCCCAGAACCCCCCGCGCGTACGCCCTCCGGCCCAAAATTGAAGCACCAGCTGCGGTAACTTCGCGTCGCTGCGCATGTTCGTGCTTCAGGATGGCTACTAAGATCGATAACGAAGACGACGGTTTCGTGACCGGCGGGCGGCGGTTTCGATTTTAGGGTAAAGTCGATTTGCGGAGGGAGGAATGTTGCGATGAACTAACCGCGATTTGGCGCCATCTTTACGACGCCGTACGGCGTCGTATGGAGGAAACTTCTGGCGGAGCTTTCTGCGCGGTTTGGACTTCCGTGGGCCGATCGAGGGGATTGTATATTTCATGTTTTGTTTAAGTAGATTTGGGATGATAATCTCGAAAGGTGAAAATGACATTTTTTACGCGAGGGAAATCTGTGTTTCGAAGTATTAAGACATTTTGATGAGTATTATTTTGATGAGTATTTTGAGCTATTAGAAAAGCGATAGAACAACGATGGATGAATTGATCGTTAAGAACAAATTGAACCTCGTGTAGTTCTTATTACTGATTAATTATAGTAAGAACGTCAAAGTTATAAACATAAATTCACCAACTCGTTGAATATTCAAGAGACGAAGATTGACAGTTCTAAGAAATATTCGCAAACTACGTACAAAAAGATTTTCGAAAAAAAGTTTCCACATCCTCGGCTTCTATCTTGTATTTCCTCGACGATTCCAACAACATTGGGAAAACTTTAATTCCCCGCGTGCTTGACGGGTTTCATCGACCACGCCATGAACCACTCGAGTCGAGGTGCAAAAGGTATGGACGCGAATGAAATTATATCGAAAGGATCTTCGCGGTCATCTCTTCCAACATGAAATTACAAAAATAAGAGAAGCTGGCCGTTAAAACTCGGGGAATTATTATTTTCTACGGAAATAATCGACGAAACGTATCCCTTGGAATGGTTCCAGCGCGTTTGCAATTCCAAACGACCCGCTAATTAATCGGATAGAGATCGAGCCACGTAAAAATCGTCGGTTGGCCCCGTTCTCATTATCGATATTAAAGCTGGAGCTCCATTAACACGGCTGGTCCGTTATTTCGACAATAACGTCGCGCTTTACGCGATCGCCTAACGCGCGGTATGGTTCCGGTTCTCGAAATTTCATTAGCCCATTCGATTGCTGGATGATTCGCACGGACGAGTGGGCTAAATTCTTAGCAGAGAAATATTCCAAACGACGAATAATGTAAAATTCGATCCAATAAAATTCTATTTTATTTAAATATATTGAGTGTATTCTTGCTGATCCTTTTAACGATCCTTTCTTTCCTTATTCATTTTACAATGTCCATCAGGCATGAACATCATTGTTTCTCATTATACCGATAAAGTTATATATTAAACAAAAAACTTCGTTCACTTATTGTATTTCAACAAAAATTCTATTATATTCTAAAACTTTTGAGGATCCCCCGATTCGTGATGGTTAAAGAAGATATTTGGTATTCCCCCATGCTCGAGGAGCAAAAATCATGATCACTGTAACCCAGCCTCTGTTTACGAGCGTGCAGAGAACACAAGACCAGAAGAAGATATATTGTAGCTTCAACGTCGCGTGCAGACTCTTCTGGGTTACGTTGTATTCTAGTCGCGTGCGCGTACCTCGTATCCCGTTCAGCGAAGAAAAGTGGATTTGCCGGTCGTTTCGCGGTAATACCGCGTCAGGAAGGAAAAAAAAGCGACGGAAGTGGGTATGGTTGACGAAATATCTTCGAGTTGTCGCCCTAAAAGCGTAAAACTGCGCCTGAATGGCAGACATGGCACGTGGTTGAGTGGCAAAATTGAACTCGAAAAGTCTCTACCGTTAATTATGAAAATTTTAAACACCTGACAAATCTATGACGTTGGTTACGCACTTTGGTAATTTACTTCGAGGAGACGATACGTAGAGAAATTTAAAAGTTTCAAACATTGAAACTCTCTGGCTAGAGTTCATTCGAATCGAGGTAATTAGACGAGCACTTGCTTAAAGAGTCCTCCTAAATCTAGAGGCTTTAATCCGTGAGTCTATAAGTAGATATACTGTACGATATTTATGATCAATTGTATATGGAAACCCGTAAAGTTAACTCGAGAGTACGAAGAACACTATCGCTAAACAACTTTCCGAATCTGATTATTCCAAAATGCATCGAATTGCAATTCCTCGTCGAGCAATTCACCCGTGATTAACGTTACGCCAAGCGTCAGAGTTCGGTAGGGTCGTAATCGCGATATTGGAATGCTCGCGCGAGAACACCGGCGAAAAACGAAAGGGATAAACGAAGACAAACGCGCGTTTGTCGAATAAACGCGGCAGGCGTTCGAGCGGAGTCCATTGTTCGACAAAATTTACCGCGCTAGGGGCACAAGTTGACTGCGCTTTCTAACCACCGGAAGCCAGCTGTTATCTCAAGAA